TGGAGCCAGTAAAGGTGAGTGTAGGTGGGGAGTTAGGGAAGGGATAGGTCGGTCCAGGGAGAACGGACAGGTCAAGGAGGCGGGATGAGGCTAGTAGGTAGGAGATGGGGGTGGAGCTTGAGGTGGGAGGAGTGGATAGGTGGGAGGACAGGTTAGGGAGGCGGGTACGAGCTGGGCTGGTTTTGGGATGCGGTCGGGGGAGGGGAGATTTTGAAGCTTGTGAAGTGCACATTGATACCATTGGGCTGCAGGGTTCCCAAGCGAAATATGAGATGCTGTTCCTGCAACCTTCGGGTGGCATCGTTGTGGCACTGCAGGAGGCCCAGGATGGACATGTTGTCCAAGGAGTGGGAGGGGGAGTTGAAATGGTTCGCGACTGGGAGGTGCAGTTGTTTGTTGCAAACCGAGTAGGTGTTCCACAAAGCGGTCCCCAATCGGCAGTTCCGACTATCTCTGTAACATAAACGCAAGCTGTTCTTGCCAATGAGAAAATGAAACTATCAATATTTTAGGTTATGCAACTTCAAACTGAAGATAAATTTTGTCTCAATGTGAATGGGGCAAAACCAACACAAAAGTGTACCAAAAAAATCTTATTACTTACTGGGTGCCTGATTTGGTTAGATTTTTGGCCCTAATTTGGGGAGGAGTCTTATTAAACCTATTTAAATGAGGTGATCAGGCTCATTTGTATAAATTTTGTTTTCCCACCGTACTGCATGGTACCCTGACCATTACATTATTTGGCTGATAGTGCACTGGCTGGGAACAGAAATTTTTGAGACATAAATTCAAATCCCACCATGGCAGCTGAGGAACTTGAATTCTGTTTGTCAAATAAATCTGGAATAAAAAGCTAGTCTCAACAACGAACAGCATGGAACTACTGGATCGTGGTGAAACACACATCTGGTTCACACAAGCCCTTCAGGAAAGGAAATCTATCATCTTTACTTCGGCTGTCACTCCAAGTCCAAATGTACCAATAAAGTAACTGAGCAAGCTCCACGGTTGAAGCTGGTATTAATTCAAGATGGGTGCTCAGCACCACTTCCCTCAGGAGTGATTAGTGACGGGCAAGAAATGCCAGCTCTGCCAATGATGCCCTTATCCTCTGAATGGACTTTTAAGATATATGCCCGGTAAACAGTCTGATCTTGGGACACTGTGGTGAGGAAAAGAGACAGGGGCTCGCAAGACTAAGAGTTCATTTTGGAAGGTTTCCCAGCAGGTCTTTTGGGGACGGAGGGGAAGAAAGTACTTATGCCTGCAGTCAGCTCAGGAAAATATTAGAGATGCTCATGTGTTGGGCACTTGTAAGTGATCCTTTCACCATTGCTTATTCCAGCACCGGAAGGACACCCAAAGCAACAGAATTTTGATCTCACAGCCATCTCTTGGCAGATTGCAAGGCCTGAGGTAAAAGGACATTTGTTGATCACAGCAAGTGGTTCTGATTTGAAATGCACAGCCAGATGGAAGCATATTCAACAGCAATGCTTGAAAGTTGATAGTATACTGGAAAATGAAACATTGACAGGGCTATGAGGAACAAGCAAAGAAGTGAAGCAAATTGGAAAGCTTTCTCAAAGACGCGATGGGCCAAGTGCTGTAATACCAAGTTATATCCTTTCAGTAAAGTGAGACACAGAGTAGAACCTTTTAGTTTCTCTTTGTTGACCGCAGCCAGAAGGCCACAAACCAAGAGCCTCTTACGTACTTCTGCTGATTTTGTTTCCAAGTACAAGGCCTTGCATGTGTCCAGCATAGGTCAGAACTTAATGACCCGAACTGATAAGACCCTGGCAGATTCAGATCAGGCCAAGCTTCAGAAGTCAATGTGCCTGTGCAGCCATTGCTATATACAGGAAAGGTTTTGCTTCTCTTAGACGAATAGTTTGTATTGAAGTGGATCCACAGAGCATTGCAATACCATTTCACTCAAAACTAAAACTAAGTTGACATTAATATTGGATTGATAAGCAGCAAATGTCACTGAACAAACCGCGATTTGGTTTCTGACATGTGACACAATTTTCAGCGAAAATTTAAATGAGATAAAACCCATTAGAGAAATCTGCCTGTCCATTTTTTTCATGGCTCTAACCTGCAGTGGTAGCAATATCAAAGCCCCAAAGCCATAACTGTTGCCAAGCTGACTGTCCTTTACTTGCTTAAAGTCCCACCTTCAATTTAACAGAATTGGCATTTGAGCAGTTAGCAAGCATATCTAAATGGTTGAACCAGTGGATCTGAAAATGAATACCACGCGTTTGCAACTGCAATCTAATGCAATAGGCTGGTGAATGCCAATAATTCTTAAACATGGATATGGATTCTGTTTAACTTTTTGACCACTCACTGGTAGTAAACTGTTGGTTACGCGAGCAAAGATGTAAGAATATGATGTAGACATTTTCTGAATTGTAGGGTAATCTGGAGAGCCAAGATTTGCAGTGATTTGTGATTTTTAAGCCTGGATTTTCACCCACCTTACCACCAAGCCAATTATAAAGTTCAAAAACAGAAGTTGCTGGAAAAACTCAGCAGGTCTGGCAGCATCTGTGAAGAAAAACTCAGAGTTAACATTTTAGGTCCGGACCCTTCCTCAGAACTATACACAGGAACTATACTCTTCTGAGAAAGGGTCACTGGACCTGAAACGTTAACTCTGATTTTTCTTCATAGATGCTGCCAGATCTGCTGAGCTTTTCCAGCAACTTCTGTTTTTGTTCCTGATTTACAGCATTTACGGCTTCAATTATAAAATTCCCTGACACTTGCAGATGCAATTTTGAACCTTCACAACTATCCCACTACTTCACAATCCCTGCAGTATGTAGCAAGAATGGGATATTTGAAGTCCACTGTCCTTCACTCTGGTTTGGTACTGCAATCTCAGTGTCAACTGACCAGTGTGGGCATTGTCAGAGAAGGCTGGCATCAGACATGAGAAGACTGGGCGGGTAACCTCTAAGGCAAGTTGCTGTTTGTGTTTTCAGGTTTCCCCGCGAATCTGGAAGAACAGATAAGAGTCACCAGTAAACTCCAGTCCTGGGCAGCCTCCCCAGTCAGGCTTGCTGTCAGAGCCCCCTAACTCCCCACCCCACAGTGATGGTTGGGATCAGTTACCTTGGGCTGCACCCACCAGCCAGCCTGAACACTGTGTGATGTTACGGTGTGGGCAGTGAGTAGGTCCACTGAGACAGTACTGCCCTCTTACTCCTCAGGTTAGAAGCAGGGGTTAGAAATTGGGACAGTAATTGTGGAACTAAGCTCCCATGTCCACCGCAGCTCAACACATCGGCTTTGTACCTGTTGCTGCAGTTTGAAGATATGGAATACTCACAAGGCATCCGTGGGGTAGGATGACAGCCCTCTGCATCGGGTATTGCTCCAAGACAGGGAGCATGCTCTGCCTAAACTTTCATTAGTGATACTCCATCAAGTACAGACAAATCTGTATCCGCGTGCCAAAAGTGACTGAATCAAACAATTTACTATTCGACTGAATACAGCAGCTTGAATGTTTAAATGCCTTCAGTATATTTGACTGTAGGAAACTGATTGTGGTTTTGTAACATACCCTATTGCCATGGAGCTGCGAGATTCCAGCAAGTCCGGTAATACATAATCACCAGGAAAGTAGAGTTTGCTCAGCAAACATTCTGCAACAATGATGTACAGCACTGACAGTGTCGTCGAAGTTAACAGGGTTTTGTGTGAAATCAATCAACAATGTGTCACCATTTCCTAATGACACCGAATCTCTTTTTACCACAAAGCAACTGCTCCACCCTTCTGTTGGGGATGGATATGGACTTCATGTAGCGTACAGATCTTCACACATCCCTCCCGTATGTGCTGTGAACGTGGTTTTGGTCTCCACCAGTGCCCAATATTAACCTCCTCTATCCCCTGTTCTTCCAGTCCATTGCAGATGTGAGAGCACCCCGCATTGGTATTGTGAACTTTGAGCTCAACGCTGAATGCCAAACTGAGCACTGTGCACCAGTTTCGGGTCAAAAGCACACTGACACCAGTGAACTGGCTCAGTGGCTTGACTAGACTGCTGAGGGGAACCTTAACTACCCCATGGCATCACGACTCAGTACTGTGCTAGTGCTGTCAGGCAAATTCCCTGTTCACTTTGACGCTGTTGCCAATTGTGCACATCACTGACACCAGGAATTAGCAGCAGTACTATAAAGTTCAAGCAGCTGTACAGGTGAAGACTTGAGGCTTTTGAGTTTTGAATCGAAGTGAGTACTCAAGTTCAATGACCTCCAAAAGCTGTACTAACATCTGCTCCACACAGTTCGCAAGACAGACTTTTTGAAATGTTTTGAAATGGAACACAATTTCAACTGCTTGCATTACCTTTGCTTTCTAAACATGATGAATTTGTGTTCCAACTTCCAATCACCCCCATTCTCTCCCTGCCAGCATCATTAATAAAGTGTCCTCTGTGGTTACTCATCCATACACAAGAATCTATACATCTCTGCCGAGTTTCCTTGACGAGGAATGTACAAAGATACCTTCGATTTGAGGCAGGCTCGGGGGATCGTTTGATCTCCGTGAGCTGCGTTTGCACCTCTCCTGAGATTATACAGGTGGCACAGTGGATATAAATCTGACTATCTTCTCCCCTCACCCCCTGCCCTCCCCACTTTTATAAACTAAATCCATCAAATCCTCATTAATCTCGCAAGAGTTCCTAGCCCCTGAGCCCAGGCTGTCATCAATGCTAGCAGAGAATTTGCAAGGCAAATTAATCATGATTTAAGCAAAGTTCCACCTCAAAGATGTATCCAAAACAGTGTTGGAGGCACCTGGCCCCCATGTCCGTATTGATCTGGGGCAACAGCAGCATTTCAAGGGGCATGACACCTCTGGAAAAATATGGAATATGGGGACTTGTTCCTGTGAGGATTGAGAAAAATTAGAGAAACTGCCAGCAAATGTACTTGGAATTTGAAAGAAGCTTTGAAACTCACCGTTCTCACTGTCTGACTTGTTGTTCTCATGCTCTGTGTCGGTTAGTGTGAGAGCTGAATTGGAACGACTGGATAGGCAGGAGCTGCGTCCGGATTTGACCCCCCTGCCCCACAGCCTCATGGCGTGCTCCGGGGACATCACACCTTCATTCTCCGTCTCAGCGTCGGAGCCTGCGTTCATGGAGTATCCTCGGTGGGGGAGCCCCATCTCTGAACAGAACGCCAGCCCCCGGCGAGTGGCAGGCTCACAGATTCCCAGTTCCCTCAGGGAGAAATTTGCCCCTAGTCGTGGAAATAATAGAGGAAGTGAGCTTTGCTTTCTCCCCTGCTCTCCCCCGTTTAAAACGTTGGAAAAAAAAAGCTAAAGCAAATAAACACACAGACACACAGTCACAACCACAGAGGTTTCAGATTCCACAGAGGGGTGAGCACTTAAATTGATGGTGTGGGGTGATCAAGACCTGTTCTTTTGTCTGCTGCATTCCACAGCATTCACACGCATCGCAGCAGCTTAGCCCTGCTTTATCATCTCAAGCACTCCCCTGTCACCTCCATTCAGGTGCCAAACAAAAATAAATTGGCAGGGTACAGGAGACATTGGGGGCTGGGAGAACACTTTGCAAACAGCTTTCCGGACAATGGATGGAGAATTGGGATGGGCACACAAGGTGTGAAAAATGATAGCAGGCCCTTTGTCTCCAATCCGCCAAGTTTACTGAAACAATGCTTTAGGGCCTTTGCTAAACTGCATTAGTGATGACAATTGTCACAAAAGAGTACGTTTGAAGGCTGAGATTCCTATCGGAGCTTTTAAAAGAATGTGCTGTGCTCTTAGTGTTATAGACCATTAGAGTGATGATAGAACCACCTGAAACAGCTTTTCAGAGACTCCCCTTAGTTCTGATCACAGAATACCTTACCACTTCAAAAAAACATTCCACCACCCCCCCCACCCACCTTCTGGTTCCTTCCCACATAACCAGCCACCTGCATCCAGACTCATTCAGAATCACTCAGAATCACTTTGTGTCTGAATGTCTCATGCAATTGGCCAGCTCTTGCACAGAGGGAACCCAAGGTCCATAGAGTCATACAGCACGGAAACAGATCCTTTGGTCCAACTCGTCCATGCCGACCAGGTTTCTCAAACTAAACCACTCCCATTTGCCTGCATTTGGCCCATATCCCTCTAAACCTTTCCTGTTCACGTATCTGTCCAAATGTTTTTTAAATGTTGTAACTGTACCTGCATCCACCACTTCCTCTGGCAGTTCCTTCCACATACAAACCACCCTCTGTGCAAAAAGTTGCCCCTCAGGACTCTTTTAAATCTTTCTCCTCTCACCTTAAAATTATGCCCTCCAGTTTTGAACTCTCCAACCCTAGGCAAAAGATCGGTGCTATTCATTTTATCTATGCCGGTCATGATTTTATAAAGCTCTGTAAGGTCAACCCTCAACCTGCTATGCTCCAGTGAAAAAAACTTAGCCAGCCTCTCCTTATAACTGAAACCCTGCAGTCCCAGTAACATCCTTGTAAACCTTTTCTGCACCCTCTCCAATTGAATAATATCTTTCCGAAAGCTGGATGAACAGGACTGTACATAGTACACCAAAAGTAACCTCACCAATGTCTTGTGAAACTGCAACATGGCGTCCCAACACTCATATTCAAACCCTCCCATTCCTCAGACAACATGTCCATCCTGGGCCTCCTGCAGTGCCACAACGATGTCACCCGAAGGTTGCAGGAACAGCAACTCATATTCAAAGCAACTCTCTCCTATACTCAATGGTCTGACCAATGAAGGCAAGTGTGTCAAACACCTGTGACGCCACTTTCAAGGGATTACGTACCTGAACTGCGAGGGCTGTCTGTTCTACAACACTCCGAGGACCCTACCATTTACTGGGTAAGTCCTGCCCTTGTTCATATTACCAGAATGCAACACTTCTCATTTACCTAAATTAAATTCCATTTGCCACGCTTCAGTCCATTGGCCAAATTAATCAAGATCCCTTTGTAACCTTAGATAACTTTGCTTACTGTCAACTACACCACCAGTTTTGGTATCATCCACACACTTATTAACCACGCTTCCTGTGTTCTCATCCAAATTGTTATTCTACCTGACAGTGTAAAATCAGTAGCTTCAGTCAGCTTCTCACCCACTCCTGACTGACCTTCTACTTTACACCCTCTTTAAACTGGAGACCTCCTTAACTCTGCTGCCTGTGTTCAAACTCGCACCAGGTATTGTTCAGTCATGACTCCTCTGTTCACTGGCCAACACAGGCCCCCAGTTTAGCAACGCTTTGATTTTCGAATTTTTATTTGTGCTTTTGCATCTCCCTATGGCCTCGCCTCTTTCTATCTCTCTCATCTCATCCTGCAATCATCTGAGATAGTATCCTCCCCCAATTTTAGACTCATGAGTATTCATTAATTCCCACACTCTGCCAGTCTGTGTGTAAGTCCTAAGTTCAGGGATTCCCTCTTTAAACTTCTCCACCTCTTTCTTTATTTAAAATACTTCTTGAAATCTGTCTGTCTGACCAAACCTTTGGTCACCTGCCCTAAGAGCAGAGAGGTTATGATGGAACTGTACAAAAAGTTGGTTAGCTCACAGCTACAATATTGTGTGCTATCCTTTGATCATATTATGGGAGTGATGTGATGGCACTGGGGAGGATGCAGGGAGCGGATTTACCAGGATGTTGCCTGCGCTGGAGAGTTTTACTGATGAAGAGAGTTTGGATAGGCTCAAGTTGTTTTCCTTGGAGCAGAGTGATTGAGGGGGGACATGACTGAGAAGGAAATAATTATAATAAGCAGATACAAAGTAACAGGAAGGAATGTTTTCCTTTGGTGAAAGGAGCAATGACCAGATTTAAGGTAAGGAACAGGATGTGGAGATGTGTGAAAAAGCTTTTCACCCAGATGGTGGTGGGAATCTGACACTGTAAAGGTGGTCGAAGCAAAAACCCTCATAACTTTTCAGAGTTATTTAGATGTGTACTTGTGATGCTAAGACATAAAAGGCTATGGCCATCGCTGAACCTGTGATCACATATCCCCAGACTGTTCCTGGCAATATGTTACTAAGTTGGAGTGGTAACTTTCCTTGTAGGACACATCTCTTGAGTCTCTTGCAGTGTTTGAGCATGTCTTTACCATTTAGGGATTCCCTGGTAAACCGTACCCAGCTCCTGGCATTCTGAACCTAATTCTCCAATAATTGGTGCCTGATTTTCTGGCGTATATGTCTGATCCCTGGATGCATTGCAAGAAACAGAAGACTGTGCTCTCTGATCACCGATGTTATGTGTCCTCAGTACTCAAACATTGGAAGGAAGATTAAGAGAGAATTCCAATTCTAAATCTCCTAAATTGCACATTTAATTACATGTTTGTCATTCCTGGAAAGAAGAAACCGCTGACTTTAGAAACACTATGTGAAAATCAGCATTGTCGGGACAGGGAATTAGAGAAGGAAATGGATGAGAATGCTGCAAACAGCTATAATCTAGTCCAGGTTCTCATTCTGAAACAATCCTCAACAGAACGTCACTTCAGCAGAATCTTGGCTGACTTAATGTTAGCTCTGCCTGTTAATTGGTTCATTGCCCCGGTCATATCACCCTACACCACTCAGCATTATCAAGAGCTGGAATGCTAAATGGTGTTTGACAGTGAGACTTATAAATTATGAAAATCAACCGCTATAATTAACTGCAAATCAAACGTCAGCTGTCACGGATTTGCAATGCAGGAATACCTTAACTGATTGCTTCAGAGACCTAATGAAGCGAAACAAATAGAAAAGCAGCCAAATATCAGTCTCCAGTGCAATGTCATTCGAACAATGACATTGCCCAGCTCAGTAGAGACTTTTAACTCGAATTTTGTTTATCCAGGGGATTTGTTGCAGTTCTGCAACAGTTATTAGGGTAAATTGCGGTGTGTACGGTTTATTTTGCTAACCCTTTGGGAGCTGAAATATTATATGATTGGAAAATAAAGTTCTCTCTAATTTTCTCCCTTCTCTTGTGTCCTGAACTGGGGATCCTATGATTTGCATTGCCTCAGTCTTGGGAACCATGCCTTCAGCTGCCTGGGACATTAACTCCAAATTTCTCTCTCTAAGCCTCGCAGCCTTGCTCCTCCCTTCCATTAAGATGCCCCATAACTTTTGCTCCCTTGTGCTAACATATCTTATGCAACTCCCTGTCCAATTCTGTCTGATAACATTCCTGTAACAGTGTCTTGGTTTATAACACTAACAATGCTATCATAAATCCAATTGTTAGGTTGTTACTTTATGTTTTGGGACATAGGAACATTGGATTTAGGAGCATGATGTGGCCATTCAGCCCTTCAAAATTGCTGTACTATTCATGAACATCATGACAAACCTGGCTGTGGTTTCAACTCCAGTCTTCTGTCTGCTCCCTGTAGCTTTTAACTCCCTTGTCCATCAAAAATCTAACTCTGCACGCATACTTGTGGCTGCTGCTCAAAAGTGAACATCCAAAATAGACAGGTTAAATTCACCACATATTCATGTGCCAAACATCCATCCTGTCACTTTCAATCAACCCAAACAGCCACTTACAGCGCAACCTGCTCAGCAGTGAGCAGGAGCAGGAGCAGGGCCTCTGGCTGAGTCTCTCTCACTTTGCTGTCTGTGGGATCTTGCTGTGTGCAAATTTACTGCCTCATTTCTGACATGACACTGACTTCGCCGCTTCGGTTATGAAATGCTTTAGGATGTCCTGAGATTGCAAAATGTTTCTATATATGTAAGCTCTTCCTTTTTGTTCCTGGTTTTAGATGCACCAAGGTTAATTGCAGGAGTCCTGCAATCAGGTAGCTCAGTTGTCTGGATGGCTGGTTTGTCATGAGGAATGATGCTCGCAGCATGGGCTCAATTCCCGAACCAGCTGGCTTCACCATGAAGAACCCACCTCCTTGACATCTCACCTTATCTGAGTTAAGCTGTTACCAGTTGTCTCTCTCTAATGGGAGACAAGTGAAACAGTTTTTCTCCCTGAAAGGCTTCTACAAGACCTCCTCTTGATGTCCTGAACAACCTGCAGCCAAAGAGATCCTAAAGCATCTGTCTTACGGCAACCGTCTGTGACGAATGACACCTGTCTCTATGTGCCATGTGCCAGATTGAAAGCCATCTGGAAGATTTCTCATTGTATCCTTTTATCCGATAAGAATTAACAAGTATATGGGCAAAATAGTTTCTTCTCAAAGTTGATCTCTGGAAGTTT